CTAATACCACCATCAAGCAGATTCTGCTCTGTAGATGGAGATGATTGGAAGTTAGGTAGAAGTCCTGACCTGTTTCTTCTTATGACAACGCCTCGATCCTCTACAAGGTAAGGTTGCAGCCGATTTGACAGTTTTGCAAGGACTGTGGCTTGCTTGTTTTCTTTTTGGACCTACACTCGCTCCCCTGGTTTTACTGGGTGTAACTCATTGACTCTTTGTCAGGTATCATAATGCAGCTTTTGCTTCATCTTTCTTCTGCTTTTCTCCTGTTTCCAGTCCCCTATTCCTGGCCAGCTCGGTTGGAGGGACGTTGTAATGCAAAGGAGGGTGCATTGGATCTGGCCGCCAAAAGTAACTCAGATGGACTCTTTCCACCCCGCAGGGGTATGGATTGGTATGCCAGGAGAGCTTTTGCAGAGTCATCTTCCTTTTTGAAGCAGGTTCTTTGCTGTTTGGACAACTCGCTTAGCTTCTCCATTGGTTTTAGCATAGAGGGGGCTGCTAGTAACGTGCTTAAATTCCCAGTCTTTGGCAAGTTTGCAAACTCAGCTGAGTCGTACTGTCTGCCGTGAAAGGAAGGAAAGTGAGGAGATACAGCCACCCTCTGGGCAAATACAGAGGAGCTCATCACCACGTTCAGCGACCCACGTTTCAGCAACAGGGTTCTTGTTTGGGTTTTTGACATGACCAACTTCTACAGCAGCCCCACCATGATACGATCTCAAATTAATTCACCTAGAGGGGCTCCAAATTCGCAGTGCTCAGACAAACAGTAAAAGTCTGTGATGTATGTATCAACTAGTGCACCAGGTTCTTGTTTCTTCATGTTGAACTTTGCAGGTTCGAGGATCACGTTTCTTTTGAGAATGAAATGTTTGTTGCATTTCTTTTTTACTTTTCCATACTTCTCCTCTCCCTCTGCGAAAGTAAAGCTCTCGAAAATATCGTCGGCCTCATCGTTCGTGCAGTAGATCGTTGTGTTTATCTGCAGGATTTCTGCTTTTTTGTTGAGTTCAGTGGATATGCGATACCGCTTGAATCACAGTATCCATTTAGGCCATCCCTCAGGACTCGGAAAAATGAAGGGAGCAGGCGGTACAATCTTGTCTGACACCATTCTTGGTTTGTTTGGCAAGCATTTTCTTTGTGCTAGAATCCCACTTCTGATACCATGTAATATTAGATAAACACGTGCGCCATTTTGAAGATCAAGACTGAACGTATATTTCGCATCTGTCAATTGCCCTATCTGGTTACATTTCTCAATACACAACTTTAAGATTTAAACATCACAACGGAGAAATCCTGTGTCGTGAACAAAGCCACATTTTCTCGGGCAAAGAGTTTCCAGGAAAGCGAAGGTAATACACATTCTCGTGAATAAAAGCAATGTTTCTCAGAATATTTGAAGCAATTCCTGGGTTTTGCTGTTTTGGATGACGTAGAAAATTGTCCACTTATCAGGAATGAAAATAAATTTGGGACTGTTTCAAAGAAATTTGAGCATGGTCATGTCTCTTTTGTGACCGGTAAAAATAATTAAAATAAAAAGGATAATAACTTGAACATAACTAGGAAAAACATGTTATGGTGTGAACATGAATTTGTTCCTGGTCGCTTATTTTATCTATATACAGGCAACTTCATTCTATCAGTTTTGATACATACATACATACATACATACATAATCTTTATTTAAACACGAAAATGTTTAAAGCTATAAAAGCTTGTGGGATCGTGTCTTTAAGAATAAACTAACCTAATCTACATCAAAACATATCTACAAATTACCGGTAATATGTTATATGGACACAGTGATTCCTATATTTTCTGTTTTTTTGTATCTTATAGCGATGCAGACGTACATTGAAACTTAAAATCTATAAACTTATCTTCAGCGCCGACACGCCTCCTAAGCTGTGTAAAATTTAGAGTCGCAGATGCTTCCTTTTCATTGTAGTTAACAAAGTTCCATAACGATGCACCTCTATATGAGAGAGAATCTTTCATGTATCTTGACGCGTACCTTGGTACGAGAAGACAGTTCTGGTCTTGAATGAAGTAAGTGCTAACTCGATTTTGGACAATATTCTCATATATTATATCAGGTAAGGATTCGCCATGTGCCCTATAAAAAAGTCTAAGAAGATCTTACTTATAATAAAAAGAAAAAGGTAGGCCACTTAACTTGTCTGAGCATGTCCTCCGAAGCCATATCCTTAGGTAAATTGTCGATTATACGTGCCGCTCTACAGTGAAGCCTTTCTATTGACTTAAAAAGATCAGAATTGCAACACATAAACCTCACAAAATAAAACCGTGCTCAACAGCCAGAGGAATCACTTGGTCGTTTAATTCCTTTAAAATTCTTCTTGGTAAAAAAACAAGAATATTTGAGAAAGTCCATTTTTTTGACAAAGCTTTTGTTTGTTTAAAGTACGTTAGCCACCCAGGTGAGTTTCTGGTCTACTATCAGACCTAACAGTTTCGTCTTGGTAACCAAACTTAACACTGAGTTTCCTACGTATACGGGAGCGATAGGCCCCATTGGTGTCCCCTTGGTGAAAAGAATGACCTCGCTCTTTCTGGGATGTGGCGTTAGTTGTTTAGACACAAGTTATAAAACTCAGTAAGCCTTATTCAGTTGATCGATCGCCAGATCAGCTGTTTCTCCAACACAGTATATGGTAGTATCACTGCATACATATAAACGAACCCATAGGAGGTAAGTCGTTCGTGAATAAAACGAACAGCGTCGGTCCTAAAATCAATCCTTGTGGGATCCCCATCGATACAGGTAACAAATCCGACTTTATATCATTTAGCAACATAACACTCAGAGTAACGAGTCATAATTCTGCTATACATCTAAAGTTAATTACACTGTATCTCAGCAAGCTCTCTTGAGCTCTTCTGGGAAGATCCCCTACATGTACTTAACTGTTTACAGATAGCAGATGGGTTTTTAACACCTTTAGTAAATAATAGGTAACTGAGAAGTAACTACCAACGGTAATAAACTTGATTCTGAACATAATCTTTAATTAACCTTATGAAAGGATTATACAATTTTATCTTCTTAAGATCGTCTAGCAAATACGTCGTTCCAAAGTTAAGCACCTCCAATTTTTAAACAAAACTTTCCGCAGTTTGGCCTTGCATAATCAACATGTATGCTAGATGCTAAATGCGTGTAATGTTTATGTATTTCTTTGCATGTCCAGCAAACCAAAATTTTGTCCCGACAAAATGGTCGTCCTAGCTGGACATTAGGGAGCTTACGAATTGACGACTTTCGCACGACGACGCCGTTGGGCCACGTCATAGTCCGGCGTCGCCGTCATCTAGGAATTTGAATTTACGATTTTAAGTAAAGACGACGACGTTGGTGCGCTTGCTGCAAATTTTCCCGCCGTTTCGGAAGTTTGTTTTTTATCACTTCATGATCATAAGCCGGGTTGTTCAAACCAAAATGCCTAACTTCAGAGAAACAAGAGCTTGTATTGCTTACGCTTTTCGAAACAACTTTTTAAAAGAACAAGAATTTGTACTTTTATACGATGCTCATAAGTAAAAAAACCCAGAGTTTCCGTATTGGAACTACGAAAGGTTCGATTTGGACGAGAAAACAAACGACGAATGCAAGGTTGAGTTTCGTTTCTACAGAGATGACATTTATAAACTTGCGGAACAGCTGCAGTTACCTGACGAGATAACCACTTACAATGGTTTAGTAGTACCTTCGGTACCAGCATTATGCATGTATCTTAAGCGCTATGCCTACCCTTGCCGATACGGAGATTTGGTTTACCATTTTGCCAGACCGGTTCCTGAGATTTCTATCATAAATAACCACATAATGGACTTGATTTATGAGCGCTGGCATCATCTGCTTACAAGGTATAATCAGGATTTGTTATCCCCTCCCAAGCTTCACCAGTATGCTGATGCTATCCAACAGGCAGGAGATGCCCTAGATAACTGCTGGGGATTCATAGATGGAACTGTACGTCCAGTTTGTAGGCTTAACGAAAACAAGCGATCCATCTACAATGGCCATAAACGTGTCCACTCCATTAAGTTTCAGGCTGTCGCTTTGCCTAATGGATTAGTGGGGAATCTATTTGGCCCAGTTGAGGGAAGACGCCATGACAGTTTCATGCTAGCTGCCTCCGGATTCTTGCAGGAACTGCAAAGGTTTTCCAACTGCCCCGTAACTGGCCTTCCCCTCTGCGTGTACGGTGACCCCGCCTATCCGATACGTGCACACCTACAAAGGCCCTATAAAGGCGCAGTCCTGACCCCAGCTCAACAAGATTTTAACACTTCAATGAGCACAGTTCGCTCTTCCGTCGAGTGGATATTCGGGGATATTGTCAATTATTTTAAGTTCTTAGATTTTAAAAAGAAACTGAAAATCGGATTGAGTGCTGTAGGAAAGATGTATGTGACATGTGCGTTAATGCAGAATGCACGAAGCATTTTATACGGTTCTGTTACGTCAGAGTATTTTGGTGTTAATCCGCCAACTCTAGAGGAGTACTTCATTTGATATAATGTGCTTAAGATACACTTGTGATACTCCAGTTATACAACATAAACACTCTAGTCGCTTGAAGGTTTAATTTGAAATGCAATAGAACTCAAGTTCAAAAAAGAACACATGTAAAGCCAATAGTAGTGTTAACACGCGTGCCAGAACATCTACGTGCAATAAAGTGATGAAAATCAACATCAAATGCTGAAGGTTGCTTGTTCATACTATAATATTACAAAACCAAAAACAACAACGAAAAAATAAGTTGCGTGTTTACAAGAAAACTGAACAATAACTACTCCGATCATAACTACGGTCCCTTTTTTAAGAGTTCAATGACTGCTTGTGTTTGCGCTTGCTGGCTGTTAAGCATCATTTGCATCATATGCATAAACTGCTGTTGCTGCTGTTGCTGTTGCTACACCTGTAACTGTTGCTGGTCCCGCAGCTGATTGAACAATGCTTACTGGGTAGCAGCTGTAGCTTCGTCTTGCCTCCTTTTCATGTCTAGCTCATCTCGCCTTAACTGAGAGTCCCTCTCCGCTGCCTCCCTTAGATAGTCAAGGGTGTCACCACTTTTTTGGCGCTTTTTTCGTGGTTCATCTTTGCCATTTCTCTTCTTAGTCTGAGCTAGCCTCTCCATGGCTCTCTCTTTCATCTCCTCGCCTGCTGCTTTATCTTGATCTGCCTTGTTTCGATCCACATCAGTGCGGGATTCCTTGGTCTTCTCTTCCTCCTCTCTTCTCTCCATATAGTCGTCCATTATTTGATCTATTTCTCGGTATTCGGGGGAAATTCCCGAGCCCCTCTCGGTCTCTCTCTCCCTGGCCTTGGAATCCCTTTCCAGGATTTTCAAGCGGTCCCTCAAACCCTTCGGCGAAACGCAAAATTGGGGCTCTTTGATGTTATTCAGAATTTTACATATTTCGTCTAAACAGCTTCCCCGCTCTCTGGTGCCTGAACGGTACTTCCATAGTTCCCAACTAAGGAGTTCGCGACCAAATATGGTGTCATGTTTAACTGACCACTTCATTTTCGGCATTCTGTGAAACAAATTATAACAATATATAAATATAATTTACTGAACAGTTAAATCACTAACTTACTAAGCTAAATGTTAAGGTAACGTTTCTACGCTAGCTATTTATCTATGAGATCACACTCGCTGGTTGATTGTCTCACAAGCTTAAGAAAATAACACAATAGAAAATGAAAAACAACAAAATCCGTTCGCACAGCGAGCAGAAAAGCAAACACAGCTGTAAGCCAAGGAAAGTTTGCGTGTTTCTACAACACCAAGCTAGCTATAAGATCCCTCTTAACAAGAGAAAAGGAGTAAAAATAAACTTTTCATTGACTTTAAAATTGTTTTGAAAGCTGGCAGGGTAAGAAATTTTTTTTTTGTTCAGCGAAGTATGTAAACTTACCACAGCCAACTCGGCTCTGTTTTTTACTGTTGATGTGACAACTCAAAAAAAAAAGATACGCGACTTTTCGGTCCTTTCAAATTTAATGAGCACCAGAAAATGTCTTATACTTTGGTGCAGTGTGATTAAAAAGAAAGATGTCCATACAGCAATCAACTTTTCATTCATACCTTTTCGTGCCTTCGCCAGCGCTTTCATGAGTTGCCATGGCTGTAGAAGATAGAATTGAATGAAAACAGACAAAAAAAGTCAAAGACATTCGTAAAGAACTTGTTACTAATATAATACTCTGATTTTTCTGGCAAAAACACGTGAATTATCGCTAGAAAACTTTGAAAACTAACCTGACGTCATGCTTTCTTTAAGACGCTGGCAAATCGCTCTTACCAACGTCGTTGACTTTTGCTCGACGCCGGCAAGTGACAAGACAGGCATGCGCAGTAGGTATGTCACGCAATCCAACGGCGTCGTCTTGCGAAAGTCGTCGATTCGTAAGCTCCCTAATGTCTGTTGACTGGCCTCTATTTTGAACATTGAGTTATGGTGGTTTCATACTCTGTGCCCTGAAGCAATAATAACGTATGTGTAAATGTAAATAGATTGGATTTCTAGAAGTTTATTTCGTAAAGCCACTGAGTGGCTAACAATTGCCCACCTCCTTCTGTCTCGTACAAGATGTACATATAGTTATATTGTTTATCTTTCCACTCTCGACATGTACATTACTGATCACATACTCGGCTTTGTCCATTTGCGGTATTGGTTGCCTGGAGGTCAGTTCAGGCCGCCTTATTGGACTGGTTTGTTCTTGGGTTCCATTGGCTCCGCAGAACAGTCATTAATTTCATTGTAAGCTGCATCAGACCAGATGTGTGGAGTTTAATTGGTGAGCTGGGGAGTAGAAAGGGATATTCAGGGGTTTCAATAAAAATTGAAGTAGCCAGCGGGTTTGAAAAAGTAGCCGGCTGTATCAACAAGGGACTGTTAGTCCCCTTCTTCAAATTATGGCGTCTGGGGAAAGTTTGAAATTTCAAAACCTTAAATTGCAATTTGGAACTAAATTGAGGACAAAAGATAAAGGACGATTTCTTACCAACAGATATTTTTTTATTTACTTTTTCAATACTTGCCTCCATATACCCATGAGAAAATGTCATTCATTTCAACAATGAATATTCTGAGTTATTCATTCCCACTCCCTTTGGCACTGTCTGTGACAGTATCAGTATCAAAGTCACTTTCTTCAACACACCAATGTAGAGCACTTGCAGGTTCACGCACCTCCACTTTAATGCTTATACTGGGACAGGTGGTTTGACGGGCTGCATCCGCAGAAATGGGTTCCAAAACATCTGGTTCAGTCACTGTAGCCATTGGGGAGCTCAAAATGACTGCTGTCTTATTTTTTCGTCTTTGCTTATTCCGAACCAATTCTTCATGGCACTTTCAACCACAGACATGCTTTGTAGAACTGGCGGCCCATTGATGGCAACTTGCATTAGAGCGTTAAGCATGTCATTCCTCAAACTTGATTTAAGGGTGTTATTGATAAGCTTCAAGCGGCTTGCATTTTCTGGCCATTCTTTACTGACAGGGATAACAGCTGCAATCTCAGCTAAGTTTAGAACTTCTGAATAGTCTTAAAAGCAACTCTGTTATTGAGCACTTTGTTAATGAACCGTTTGGTGGGAGTCGTGTCTTCCAACATATCTTTGATCCTGAACTTCAATGACATCCACTGTGTCTTGAGTTTAACTTCTTTGACAATTCTGGAGTCAACATTAGAGTACAAAAAGTAGTCTGAAAGGGTTACAATGTACTTGTCATGGTTTTTGAGGGAACCAAGTTCGCATTCATTCATCATTGTCTCCTATCCTCACAGTAGATCCTCTCATTGCAATAGGTTGCATGAGAGCCGAGATGATTGGAATTTTATATCTTTCTGCCTTTTCAATTTGTTTTTTAAGTTTCCTTACCAGTTGTTCTGCAATCTCCTTTTATATTCTTATTGTGGCTGCAAAAAGGTGGACATGATTATTACTGAACGAAAGTGATAGATTTTACCTATGGAAACGGTGATAAACAAGAACCGATATAGTATGTAAAACCACTGACAATAAGGACAGCCAGACAAGAAGCTTGGAAGCACATCTCGCTTCAATCAGATTGTTCTAAGAACAATAAAAATTATCATCTTTAGGAAATAACACTTGACAGCTGAGGATCTACATAAGTTAACATTTGCAGTATGTGTGTAAAAGAAAAGCTAAAACGCATAATGTACTGTGATAATTGATCATTAATGTGTTTAGACATGAGAATGTGATTTTCCCTCCTCTAAGAAACTGATTGGAAGTCAGCTTCCAGTTCCTGAGGATCAAGAACTTCACATGGGCCAGTACCTTTCAACTCAACAGGGCCAAGAATACACGTGCTATGCCTTGGCTAGTCAAACCTTGTGATGTCTGTCTGCTGTAATTTGTGAAGGAACTTCAATAGAGTGAACTGCCTTTCATCAGGTGCACTTCGCGTCCTTCCAGTGTAATAATTTTTGCCATAATCCACCGCATAATATTTGTCCTTCTCAATGTTAGATGGTGATGGTTCGAGTAAGGTTCGGCTGTGGAGCTCAAGAATAATATGCCTTCTGAAATTAGGAATGCTTTGCTGATCTGACACCATGTTGCCTCCAGTGACCAGGGTCGGGTTGCAAAAAACATGTTAAGATTAAGGGAACTCGTAACTATTATTTCAAAACAATAGGTTATTGTTTCAGAACAAAAGTTAAGAGCCCTTTTATCTTAAGAAGGCTTTATGCAACCTGGCCCAGGAACCTTGCGTAGAGGCAAGTAACAAACTGCTGCTTATTAACATCAAGACCTTTTTCAACAATCTGCAGCAACCTCCCAATTTTTACCAGTGCTGCCTCAGCATTGGCTTGACAAAGTTTCCACACCTCTAAAAAAACGAGTAAAAATCCACTTGACGTTTGCTTTTGTTGGTGTCGTGACAGGCAATCTACGAGTCATGGTCGAAACTATCCCAATTTATGGTTGCATAGACTCATCCAAAAAAACACAAAGTCGTGTATAATCAAGTATAAAAAGTCTTTAATAGCGGAGCTCCCGCGCGCGAAGCGCGCGCAGCGGAGCACCATGAGTAACAAAATTTGGTAAACTATCCATCCAAGAAAATTTGGTTATGACGTAGAGTACGCCCACCCGTACACACACTTCATGTAAGCCGATGTCAAATGTCACAATAGATCTTGCACAACTTGACTAGCCTTTCGTTTTGTAAGCCATCCGTATGAGTACGAGTAGATTGACAGCTGTCAAAATCAGACATCCGCTGACAATGATAACATGACCATCTCGCGGGCTCAGATGAAAGACCAGTCGTTTTGCCCCTACATATAAGCTGATATAATATGTCACACTTACCAATTCAACATAAAAACGAAACTACCCCGGGCAGGGCTGTCAGTAGGCTGACAGTCGTTTAAATTTATATTGGCAAGCCAAGTTAAAGTCAATTGACAGCTGTCAAAATGGAATATGTGCAGACCACTATCAGAAAACTAATAACGTGTGGGCTCAGGTTCGCTCAGGTACACGATCTGGCATTTTCCACTACAACCCGGACGGATAAGTCTTACTCAAACTGTTAATTCGAATATTCGCCATTGTAATGAAGGTTAATTGACAGCTGTCAAACTAGAGTATACGCTGACCATCATCACCTGACTGTATCGCGGGCTCACTTTTCTATCCACTGAGGTCACGTAGTTTTTAAAGTTTTCCGCTTACATTTTATTTGATCACGGGCTCAATTCGAAGCCCCATAGCTTGGAAAATCTATCCATCCTAGAAAATTCGGCAATCACGTGACCGTACACCGACCACCCGACCTTCCGTCCGTCCGCACCACAGGCATGCCAATGTTTAATCCCACACTTTCTAGCTAGTTTGGGAGCCTGCAACCTGATATTGCACAGCCATGTTTTGATTAATTGACAGCTGTCAAAATAGTGTTTCTGCTGACCAGTATTGCCTAACCGTTTCGCCGGCTCAGGTATCGACCCACCGAGTTCAAGTGTTTTTTGAAGTTATCTGCTGACAAGAAGCTACTTTTCAAATAATCACAGGCTGAAGTTCAATTTTTTTGAAATGCATATGAAATAAGTCGTGTTTATGAGTAGTCTGCTACACAGCCGTTTTTAGTGTCGTCACGCAACGCTCCTCGTTGCGTGACATTGTAAAATTTTGATTTCGAACTGACCTCGGACGCGAAAATTCAACCGGCTTTTTAAT